ACTGGTGGGCTGTATAATTATATGTACACAATATACTCAACAAATTAGTATATAAATAGGTGAATGAATGGTGTAATCTTTGTACTCATTTATTCACTAATTTATTGAGCATTTATTATATACTAGACACCAACTATTCTAGTTGCTAAGAATACAGTGGTGAGCTGTATAGAAATTATCTCTGCTCCAATGGAGCATAGATATTAGTGAAAGGCATTAGAACAAATAAACATAAATATATAATTACAAATTGGCTTAATTACATGAAGAAAAATAGCAACCACTATGATATAACAACCATAAGGGTGAGATCAATTTTTATTTTATTTCTTTTACGATTTATTTATTTATTTTAGAGAGAGTATGAGCAAGTAGGGGGTGGGGCAAAGGGAGAAGGATTGAATCTCAAGCAGACTCCCCACTGGTCATGGAGCCTGACGCAGGACTCAATTCTGCAACCCTTGAGATTATAACCTGAGCCAAAGTCATGAGTCTGATGCTCAGTGGACTGAGCCACCCAGGTGCCCCGGAGTGGGATTGATTTAGATTGTGTGCTCTGGGAGGAACTTTAACTCCCAGAAGGATGAATAGGATTAGCCAGATCAGAATTAGAGCATGGTAGAGATGGGTTTGGGTTGGAGCATTGCAAGTGAGGAAGATTGAATTCGTGAAGTTTCTCAGATTGGAAGTTGGAGGACTGGGAGTACATTGGTATCCTTCGGATCTGAAATAACACTAGTGTGGCTAGAATGTAGAGAAGGAGGAGTAGAGTTGCATAAGAAGTAGAGGAGTTGCCAGAGCTTCTTGAATATCCTGATACAAGGTCCCAAATCCTGAGGTTTCATTACTCTTAATTAGAGGGAAAATATAGAGACTGATTTGTGGCTTGAAAAAGTGGGGGGGAACTGTTGATGAATTAGCACATAATTGGTTTATCTAGAACATGGGGAAGTTGAGTGTTATGTTGGGAAAGAATGTGGGCTTTGAAGTTAGAACTAAGTTTGACCCTGCTCTGCTTCTTAATGGTGTTTGTGGCCCTGGTAAGCTACTAAACATCCCTGAGCCTCTCTTCTGTCATCTGTAAAATGGAGATAGTAGTGCCCCTTTATTGTGAGAATGAAATTAAATAAAATACATACACAAAGCACTTAGCAGAGGGTTTCATTCAAACTAAATGGTCAGTAAACTGTACCTGCTGCTGTTACTCCTCCTCCTCCTCAAGGCAGAAGGACAACAGCCAGATTGTCTGTGAAAGGTGTGCTAAATGAATCTAACGGACAGGCTAACGCATGCACAAACCAGCATGCCTGTAGTGACTTTAGACTATTTCATATGACGAATTCTCTGTGAAAGGATGGGAGTCTTTGAGTTTGTCTTTGTGATAGTTGAAAGCTGGAAGTTTTTTGATAACAGAAGGCTTGTATGTACTGTTGAAAACTGGCTTTGCATTTCAAAGAAAGATAATAGCATAAGACTAAATTCACTATGAAAAGCCATAATACTATAGAGTACTTTATGGCCTTTTCAGAGAATATCACATAATTACAGTAAACTAAAGTCTTTGAAAGAAAGACTCTCTGAAAATGCTGACATGTAATCTTAAAAACACAGGCTTCCCTTTATTTCCCAAATAATTCTCTAGTTAACTAAGTGCAAGCAAGAGAAACTGGGATAAACTGTCACGTATGTGTCTGTGGTTCACTTTATATTAATATGGAAATATAAAACAAAAACTTGTCCGAGTTCAAAAGCTTCAGTCATATTTTTGGAGGATAATAAAACAATTCCTAAGTAGCTACTTGGGTGTTTGAGTGTGAGGTAAGCAGTCACCAATTGTGTTTTATCTCCCAGGTTACTAGGGGGTATGTTTGAATGCTAAAGACATGTCAAAGAATTTTTGTAATGATAGTGAAGATTTTTTGGAAAGAGAAAATTGCTTGGGAAAAACATACTTTGCCCTTTGATTTAGTTACTAATTTCATAGAAAAATGCAATATGTATGGCTAAACTTTTTTGACTGTGATTCATAAGAAGAGATATATTTTATTTTTAAAAAATTTTTTTAAAGATTTTATTTATTTGTCAGAGAGAGAGAACAAGCAGGGGCAGCTGCAGGCAGAGGGAGAAGCAGGCTCCCCGCTAAGCAAGGAGCCTGACATGGGACTCAATCCCAGGACCCCGACTGAGCCACCGAGGCTTCCTAAGAGATACATTTTAGTTTGTAAACATTATATACAACTAGGAAACTAAAAAGTTTTATGAAACAATATACATTCCAATATTTTATGTTCTATTTCAATTTTTAAGAAAATGCTTTATGTAGTTTATACTAATTTTATGACCTAATAGGTCACAAGTTGCAGTTTGAAAAACATTGCATCAAATGACTGTATTAAGTGAACTTCAAAAAGAATTCCAGGTTATTCCAGAAGCTGTAAAACCAGCACAATTTTTCCGGTAGTATATTTCACACCATTAATAATAAGTGATCAATAGGTACCAACCCCATATCATTTGGCTGCATTGGATGGTCTTTTAAGAAAGAAAGAGAGAAAAAAGAAAGGAGGAAGGAAGGCATCCATGAACTCTCACTGAAGGATACATAAGAATTTAATAATAACATGAGTTGGGGTGCCTGGCTGGCTTGGTCAGTGGAGTATATGGCTCTTAATCTTAGGGTTGTCATGTTGGATGTGGAGATCATTTAAAAAAAAAATAACAACATGAGTTGCTTGAGGGACAGAGAATTGAGTATCTTTGGGTGGAGGTAGTGATTTTTTTGTTGTTTTTAAAATTTGAACCATGTGAATATATTCTACATATTAAATTTAAAATAATAAATTCTACTTCTACATTATTAGAGAAAAAAGAAAGGAGGGGAATCCGTTTTGGATCTGGGTTTGTTCAATAAAGATTGCTGTGCTAGATTAGCAGTGTCTTTCACAGGAGTGAGAGATAATAACTTTTGTGCTGTGTTTGCTGCCCCTGATCTAGATGATCTACATCGACAGTTCTATAAAAGAATGTTTAGAGGATTCACTAAGAAGGGTTAATCTGTGTCCCATTCCCTGATTATTTTAAGGGGTTATACAGTTTAGAATTTTTTTTTCAAGAGAACATGGCTAATTTGAACAGTTCAGTGCTTAATTAGAAGTTTTAAAAATTTTTTTAACTTGTTATTTAGAAATAATTTCAAACTTAGAGAAAAATTATATAAATAAGAATGATAATATACATAATACCTATTTCCAGAGTCACCTTTTGTTAACATTTTACCCCATTTAGTTTATTGTTTTTATCTTCCTATCTGATTTATTTTTGTCTGAATCATTTGAGAGAAGCTTAAAATACCATACCCCTTTATTCCTTACTACTTTGAGGTGTATTTTCTAAGATTAAGGGTATTCTCTTAATAATGGAACAGATACCAGCCCTAGTAATATTGATATCCTACTTGAATCTACTGCGTGTTTTCCATTTTTGTCAGTTGACCCAGAGATGTCCTTTAATAGCATTTTCCCCTTCTCTGGCTCAGGATCCAGATCAGGTATAGGTATTGCATTTTGTATTGTCTCTTTAGCTTCCTTTGATCAGAAACATTTTACAACCTTTATTTCTTCTTTACAACATTGAGATTTTTTAATATAGCCCCCCCTTTAAAAAATAGAATGTTGATCATTTTGATATTCTTTCAGGATTAGAATCAGATTATGCATTCTTGGCTAGAATACTATATAGCTGATATGTCTTTCTGAGGACATCACAACTGAAGGCACAGGAATTCCATCTACCCCTCATTAGTAATGTTAGAGTACTCAGTAGTCAAGATGTTATCTAGTTTCTGCTGTATAATAAATATTTTCCCTTTGCCACAAATAAGTAATCCACGGGAAGACATTTTTAAAATCATGCAAAATTTCCTGCTCCTCACCAAAATTTCCACCTGGATTTACCATTCATTGATTGTCCTTGCTTGATCCAGTCTTTACTGTATTGGTTGCAAAGATGCTGATTTTTCCAGTTAAGCACTACCTACACATTTACCAGTTGGAACTCAGCATTCTGTTGTAAGCAAGAGTTCTCCTTTCTACTCCACTTACTTGTTCTTATAAACTCCTCAATACTCGTATTTAACCAGTGGTTCATAAATACTAAATACTCGTATTTAACCAGTGGTTCATACTTCATTATTCTGTGAAGTAGAGGATTTATTTCTGGAGTTAGTGGATGACATCAGGAGGTCAGTGACCAACCTGAAATTGTGTGGCAGGTTGTGTGTGTGGACAGTTTTCTGAGGAGGATGTCCATAACTTTAACCAGAATCTCTAAAGAGGTTTTTGTTTTTTTTTTTTAAGAGTTTATTTACTTATTTGACAGAGATCACAAGTAGGCAGAGAGGCAGGCAGAGAGAGGAGGAAGCAGGCTCCCCGCGAGCAGAGATCCTGATACGGGACTCAATCCTAGGACCCTGGGATCATGACCTGAGCCGAAGGCAGAGACTTTAACCCACTGAGCCACCCAGGCGCCCCAAGAGTTCTTGATTCAAACAGGATTAAGTCCTGGATTAATCCCATAAATCCAGGATTTAGTCCCACTAGGTTGAATAGTTAAATGTTAAGCTCTCTGTAATCCTTATATATTTGTGTATTCCTTTTTAAAAATTTATTATTTTTATTAACATATATTATTTGCCCCAGGGGTATGTTTGTATATTCTTTGCCAGTTTTCTACCCCAAGTGATAAATAACTGAAGTGTTAGAATGGCAGTGTGTGTCCTTCTGTAGGTACATTCCAATTTTTCATCTGCTGTTTTTAACTGCAACTGAAAGTAGTATTATATTTTGGTTTCTTTTTTTTTTTTTTGCTGGAATATATAATAAATGTTAATATCTTCATTGCCACTGTAGCAGCAATTTATGGTGTATAGAACCAGTCTTTTGAAGCAACAAATTACCTTGATTTAATTTGAAATCTTAACACGAATGTTTTTTACACTATAGTTTTATCAGCTCTTTGGGAGTGAGCTACATGATGTTGTGCACTGAAAATTACCCAAATGTTCTGGCCTTCTCTTTCCTGGATGAGCTTCAGAAGGAGTTCATTACTACTTATAACATGATGAAGACAAATACTGCTGTCAGACCATACTGTTTCATTGAATTTGGTAAGGGCCTGATTTTTTTCCTTTTCATTATCCTGTCTCTATCGAATCATAAATGATTTTTCATATAATACTGGGCGCCAGGGGAAAAACTCAGAAAATTCTGCTACCTTGCTTTTGATCGAATAACTTGATAAATGGTCAATAAATTATGGCAATTTCTTTTGGCCCATTTGAAAAAAATTGTGTTTGGGCTTTGGAGGGGATTGTGATTATTGGCACAAAGAATTAATCCGAGAGGACAATCTCTCAATGCGAAATTTATAAGCCAGAGATTCATAGTTCTGTGTTTATGTGATAATCTTTTATAGTCTGCTTAATGTAGAATGGAGGTTGGCAAACATTTGCTGGAAAGTACCAGATAGTACATATTTTAAGCTTTAAGGACCATATGGTCTCTGTCACAACTACTCAGCCCTGCCACTGTGGCTTGAAAGCAGCCATAGGCAATACATAAATGAATGAGTATAGTTATATTCCAATAAAACTTTATTTACATAAGCAGTCAGCAGGCTCACTTTGGCCTCTGGGCATTAGTTTGCTTGACTCCTGGTGTATGAGGAGAAAAAAGTAAAACCAAGTTGTAAATAATGAAAGTAAAATCAGAAGATATTTAGAAAGTGTATTTTATTGATTTCACTAAATACATTGTTTAAAATATACATTCTAATGGTGAAAGCAATAAATATAACAGGTTTTTAAGAATATGCAACTTACGGCATATGTTCTTATGTAATTACAATTGGTAAACACTGACAGACTTAATATTTTATGAGAGATGAAACCATATAAAAATTAAGACTTTGGTTTAAAATTAAAGCTGTTTTTTTTGGCTTGTTTTTTAATTTAAAGTAATTCCTTGAAGGGAATATTATAGTAGAAAGTCTCACAGTCATGATGTGTTAAATCCTTATTTTATTTATAATTATTTCTAGAATATAATTTCTGGAGTGAAACACTGATGACTCCATGATATATAAACTATTAAACACAAATAGTATTTGAATATTCCATGACAAATTGAGTAGTTTTTTTTTTTTTTTTAAGATTTTATTTATTTATTTGAGAGAGAGAGACAGTGAGAGAGAACATGAGAGGCGAGAAGGTCAGAGGGAGAAGCAGACTGCCCTTGGAGATGGGAGCCCCATATGGGACTCGATCCTGGGACTCCGGGATCGTGACCTGAGCTGAAGGCAGTTGCTTAACCAACTGAGCCACCCAGGCACCCCAGATTTAGTATTTTTTGGACAAAAAATTAAACTGTTGATCTGCAGAGTTTATTCTATAAACATCACACTCTTAAATTAATTAACAAGTGACTGCAAGGAAATTTATTTTTATTTTGCATAGATAACTTCATTCAGAGGACCAAGCAGCGATATAATAATCCCAGGTCTCTTTCAACAAAGATAAATCTGTCTGACATGCAGATGGAAATCAAGTTGAGGCCCCCTTATCAAATTTCCATGTGTGAACTGGGGTCGGCCAATGGAGTCACATCTGCATTTTCTATTGACTATAAAGGTGCTGGTAAGATTTCTTCTGGTGAGTTATAGATCTCAGTTACAAACTATTTCATTAAAAAAAACTTTTGTAAGAACTGAGTAACTCTTATAAATTAATTACATTATTCTAATATTTTAAAGCAAGTACATGAGAGAATGTAGAAATTTAAAGTAATTCTCCCAGTAATTTACACGGTAATCTACCAGATATGTGACTAATCAGGAGAATACTTTAAATAGCAATCTCAGAGGAACTCTGCTAGGGACATGTTTAAGAATTTTTCTTAATTGTTTCTTAAATATTTCTTTATAATTTGTTTTCAAGAAGTGAATAATTGTTAATTTGTAATATATATTTATGTACATGTAAGTGTTTTGCATTATATCAGAATGGCTTCATTCAAGGCCAGGTTTCTTGATTATCACAGAAAATGGGATTATCTACCCAAACCTACCCTCCCAAACAAGAAATACCATATTCAACAGTTGTGACAATAGAGAACTTCTATTTAAAAATGGAAACCTCATTATTGTATAAGGTAGCATATGTCATTGTTGAATTGCTTGTTTAAAAAATTCCATGTAATTCCAACTTGTTTGTCTAAGTTCTCTGACTTTTTCTCCGCTTGTCAGCTATGCCAGAATAGCACTTAAGAATTTTGAAATCAGCAGTTCTGTGTTCTTTCTATCTTATTACTCTGATCAATTGCAGATATAATCAGTTTCCTTAGCCTTTTGTTCTGTGACATTTTGAAACCCTCCCCATCCTGGAAGCTGCTTCTGTGTGTGCTTTAGTTTGTTAGTATTCTTCAAATGTGGCATTCAGGACCAAACACATTTCTTTAGTTGATTAATTCAAATTATGGGAGAAAGGGGGATGCAAATTTTAGTAAAATAATCCAGTCATTCAGGAAACAAACACAAAAACAGGCAAATACCAGTAACAAGCCCCAGGAGAGAGGAAGTGGATCAGTACTCATAGTTGTTACAATATGTTTTCTAAAATGTCCAGTTTCCAACAAAAAATATAAGACGTGTGGAGGAAGAGGAGAGTATAATCCATATATGGGGGGGGGGAAGCAGGTAATAGAAACTGCCTTTAAGAGTGATCAGATGTCAGATTTAACAAAGACTTTGAAGTAGCCATTGTAACTATGTTCAGACAACTAAAGGAAACCATGATTAAAGAAGTAAGGAAGGTATGACAATGATGTTGTATCAAATAGACAATATCAATAAAGAAATAGAAATTATAAAGAAAAAGAGCCAGCTGGAACTTCTGGAATTAAACCAATATACTTGAAATAAAAAAATTTACTAGTAGGCTCAGCAGTAGAATTGAACTGACAGTAGCAAAAGTTAGCAGATTTGAAGATAAATCAGTAGAGATTTTTCAATCCAAAGAACAGAGGAAAAAGACGGAAGAAGAAAGAACAGAACCTCACAAAAATGTGGGGCACTTAAGCACACCAGTATATGCATGATGGGAGAACCAGAAGGAGAGGAGAAAAGGAAAGGAGCAGAAAAAGTATTTGAAGCAATAATGGGTGAAAAGTTTCCGGATTTACTCAACAACATTACTCCTCCAGGAAGCTCATTGAGTTCCAAATAACCATGCAAGAGGTCCACAAATAGATGAATCATATTAAAAATGTGGAAGATCAAGACAATGAGAAAATGTTGAAACCAGTGAGAGAAAAAAACAACTTGTCACTTATAAGGGAGCCCCAGTAAGATTAACAGCTGACTTCTCAACGGAAACAGTGGCAATCAGGAGGCAGTGGGACAACATGTTCAAAATGCTCAAAGAAAGAAAAAAGTATTAGTCAAGAATCCTATATCCAGCACAGCTATCGTTCAAAAATAAGGTGAAATAAAGACATTTGCAGATAGCAGAAGCTGAGAGAATTGTTGCTGGCAGACTCATATTACAAGAATTACTAAAGGAAATTCTTTAGGCTGACAAGTGATCTAGACAGTAATTTGAATCCACACCAACAAAATCAAAGAACAACAGTAAAGGTAATTATAAGACAGTCATTTTTTTCTTCTTTGTTTTGTTGACTGATATAAAAAGTAAGTGTATAAAACTAATGTATTGTTGGCCTATAATGTATAGAAATGTAATATATATTTTTCATAATAGCGCACGGGAGGTGGATGGGAGCAGAACTTCACTGGGCTAAAGAAATGATTCCAGATGATAATTTGAATCCACAGGAACAAATGAAGAAAGCCAGAAGTGATAAGAATTTATATTAATAAAACTTACAAAAATTGCTGTCCTCTTAGTTGCTCTAAAAGACATAAAATTATGTAAAGTAATAATTGTTAACAATGTATTTTGGGGTTTGTAATGTTTATAAATGTAATTTGTATACAACAATACCACAAAAAGGGAAGAAAAGGAATAACGCTCTATAGGAGTAATGTTCCTATAGCTCTTTGGAATTAAGTTAGTATAAATATGAAGCTATTTCTGGTAAGACGTATATGGGAAGTCCTAGAGTAGCCACTAAGTAAATCACTTAAAAAATAGTGAAAATCATTAAAGAAATTAAAGTGCTACAGTATAAAACATTCATTTAATGTAATGATAGACTAAAGGAGAAATAGAGCAAAAAAGGGCATAACACATAAAGAAATAAGTAAAATGGCATATGTAAATCACTGTCAATAATTAATGAGATTGGATTTAAAAATGTGAGTGGATGAAACATTCCAGTCAAAAGTTGAAAATTATAAGAGTGGATTAAAAAAATCAAAAGGTAGAAATAAATTGAAAGTTAAAGGAAAAAAAACATATAATGCAAATAGTAACTGAAAGAGAGGTGGAGCGGCTTTTTGATACTAGACAAAACGAGTTTTAGGACAAAATTTGCTACTAGAGACAAAGAAGGACATTTTATAATGATAATGATAAAAAGTTAATTGATTAACATGTAACAATTATAAAAATATAGGTGCATTTAACAACAAAACTCTCAAATACGTGAAACAAAATCTGCCAGAAATGAAGGGAGACATAGACACTTAAACAGTAATGGTTGAAGACTTAATACCCAACTTTCAATAATGGATAGAATAGGCAGAAGATAAACAAGGGAACAGAAGATTTGAACAATGCCATAAACCAACTAAATCTAATAGCTATGGAACACTCCAGTTAACATTAGAAAATATATTCTTAAGCATATGTGGAACATTCTCCTGTAGGGTAGACTTTATGCTAAGCCATTAAAATACAAAACCTTCATAAATTTAATAGGCTAACAATAATACAAAGTATATTCTGTAACTGCAGTGAAATGAAATTAGATGTTAATAACAAAAGAATTTGCAAAACTCAAATATGTGGAAATTAAACAATACACTCCTAAATAATAAATGGGTCAAAGAAGAAATCAAAAGGGGAATTTATACTGGGAGATGAATGAAGATGAAGACACAATATAACAAAATCTGAGATGCAGCTAAAGTTGTACTTAGAGGAAATTTTATTGCTATGAATACCTTTATTTTTTTAAAGAAGATCTCAAATGAATAATGATCTGCCTAAAGATAATAGAAAAAAAACCAAATTAAACCTAAAATAAAGAGGAGGAAGGAAATAATCAAGATTATGAAATGAAAATTAAATAGAAAATAGAAGAATAGAGAAAAATCAATAAAACAAAAAACTGGTTCTTTGAAAAGATAAAATTAACAATCCTTTAGCTAGATTGACCGAGAAAAAAGAAATTACTAGAATCAGAAATGAAAGGACATTTCTACTGATCTTACAATACAAAATAAAGGATTTTAAAGGAACACTGAACAGTTGTGTGCTGATGAATTAGACAACTTTGATGAAATGGTCATATTCTTAGAGATACACAAATTACTAAAACGGACTCAAGAAGAAATAAATAAACTGTATCCAAAATAGGGATTAAATTACTAATAAGAAACTACCGGGTTGCTTGGGTGGTTCAGTCAGTTAAAAATCTGCTTTCGGCTCAGGTCAATATCTGGGGTCTTGGGATCAAGCCCTGCATTGGGCTCCATGCTCAGACAAGAGCCTGCTTCTCCCTCTCCCTCTGCTTTTTCCCTTGCTTGTGTGTGCCCATTCTTCTCTGTCAAATAAATAAAATCTTAAAAAAAAAAAAAATTCCAGAAAGGAAATAGTAAAAAAAAGGGGGGGAGGCGGTGGGGAGAAAGAGAGAAACTACTGACAGGGGTTCCTGGCTGGCTAAATGGGTGAATGGGACTCTTTTGGGTGTAGAGATTACTTAAAAATAAAAATCTTTAAAAAAAAAAAAAAAAAAGAAAGAAAAAAAGAAACCATTGACAAAGAAAACCCTAGTTTGAAATGGCTTTACTGGAGAATTTTACCAGTTTAAGAATTAACCAGTTCTTTAGAAACTCTTCCAAAAAATGGAAGAGAGGGAAAACTTTTCAACCCATTCTTTGAGGCCAGTATTATCCTAATACAAAACTAGATAAAGACATCACAAGAAAAGAAAACTACAGACTAATAATATCTCATATGAATATGGACCACAGTCCTCAAAAAAAAAAAAAAAATGCCATCAGGCCAAATCCAGCCACATAAAAATTACTATATAATGTGACCAAGTGGGATTAATCCAGGAATGCAGGGTTGGTTTAACATCTGAAAATCAATTAATATATACACTATCAACAGAATAAAAAACAAAATCTCATGGTCATCTCAGTAGATAAAGAAAAAGCATTTTTAAAAAGTCCCAACAGTCTTTCATTATTAAAAATACCCAGCAAACTAGGAATAGAAAGAAACTTGTTCATTGTGATCATCTGCAGAAAACCCAAGCTCTACTCAGATATAATGGTGAAAGATTGGTGCTTTCTCCTAAGATCAGGAACAAGACAATAATGTCTGTTCTTAGTAGGTTTTTTTTTTTTTTAAGATATATTTATTTGAGAGAGCAAAAGCCAATATGGTTGGGGGGCAGAGGGAGAGAGAAACTCAAGCAGACTCCTGATGAGTGTGAATCCCAAAACTGGGCTTGATCCTCA